AAATGAATTAATTTCTATTTTTTTTACCTAGACGAATAAGCAAACGCGAATTAAGTATAAAATTTTCTCCAATCTAATCAATGAGTTTGGTAGTCTCGAGGCATTTAAAGATGAAGTAATTCATTCTTTATTGAGTTCTCATTGCTTTTTTATTTAATATTTTAATTGTGCGATTTATGCAATCTATTATTATTATTATTGTTATTGTTACATTAATTAGTTTAAGAGCAATGCGATGGCGATATTTGGATGTGGCTGGACATGGTATATATAAAAGTTTCACTTTATATATATATACATATTAAATTTTATTAATTTTCTGTAATAGGCTTGTACAGACAGAGTTTCAAATGCTTCGGATTGTCAATTCATATAATGCAGGTATGGCATTAAAATATCGATTTAAACTAGTTCCAATAAATACGCATTTTAATTCTATCCCTAAAAAGGCACAGCACTCGACACTACACGAACTCAATCAGTTGAACCAAACTTTGATAGTCTTTCTGCACCAGTAATATCTTACGTTAAAGAAAAAGAAAAATCTCTTCAAGCTCCATCTGCTGCACCTTCTGCTCCGCCTCCAAATCATCTTCGTTTCACACCGCTATTGGTGTTGAGCGTATGGGAGCATGCTTATTTGACAGATTATGGTGTTAACGGACGAGACAAGTACATTGATCAGTTTTGGGAATGTGTTAACTGGGAAAAAGTTGACCAGAGAGCAACTTTTGATTAATATGAATAAAACTGATTTAAAAATTTAAAGGTTTTCTCCTTTTATCTGAAATTATGTGCAAACTATCTATTTACAGGAATTTAATGCCAAAAATGAGAACGTTTTTCTACATACAAAATGAATGTCAATCTATGAATGATCCTATGATTAATAAATAAATAAAGTTTGTGCCGTATTAGTAGTATCATCGCCACGCAGATTTCTTGTCTTGACCTGAAAATACACTACAATTATTTCTTTTCAAAGAATGAGAAAGATAGCTTCACGTTTGAGTTTCATCATCCCCTTCACTAAGTTGTACCACCATCTCACGCCGATCTTGTGCTAGATTCGGTCCCCCTTCTGCTGCAAAAGCATTTTCAGCTTCATTATTTCCATATTTGAAAATGTAGACGCAACTTTTTAATAGATCATCAGATATTTCAGGAACAACCTTATCATAAAGGTCGTTGTGTACAGCTGGAATATGACGTGGAGTGGCCCATTGTTGCTATTTAATTTAAGAATATATTAATTATTTTTTTAGCATAAACGGTTCTTTATTGAAATAATAAGATCTCTCGAAAAACCTTATGACGGAAATAAGTTTCCCCGCCTTCCAAAGCTCGATGTCTTTCATAATCAAAGCGTCCGTTTATGTGTGTCTTTTTTTCCTCGTTTTCCTTAGATTGCGCCTTCATAGCTATTGCTTCCAAGCTATTAAAGATTGAACCAGCAGTTTCTGGACTAATGCTATCCCACACTGCTGCGACAATATTATTGACAGACCGATCTTTTTTAACCGGTTCGAGAGACTTATAATTATACCCCCGTAACAAAAAATTCGTAGGATTTTGTTCTTCATATTGATTAATTTCATTGTAGGCTTGCCAATTATCATCATCAGAATCAAGCAAAAGATCTTGCATATTAGTTTGCAGTCGACTTTCTTGCATAATATTATCATGAATATCTTGCCGACTGTTTATTTTTTCATCATTGCTTACGTCTGACTTTACTTTTGAGTCAGTAACGTCATTATGAAATGTAAGGACGATTTCACTAGGCTTTCTTGAGGGTGTATATACGGTGGATTCATCAATCTCTGCTATAGATACCATATCTTCTCCATCCTTGAGATGGCGAACTCGTGAATCAATTTCATGAATTGATCTTGAGCGAAAATGCGGAGGAGAAATATAACCACGACTTCCTGAAAGTTAACCTCCGAATAAATAAGTTTTTATATGATATAAAGAATCTATTGAATGAAATTAAATTACCTTGTCGAGAATTCCGATTGTTATTAGAAGATTGTTGAGACGGTGCAGGAGATGAATTTGCTGATGCATTATTATTACTAATGCTGCGATTCGATGGTGAATAATCTTCATTGCGATAATCATTACTCCTATCATAAATTTCGGTTGAACCACCTCCACGATTAAATGATGGACTCGGACGCAAAGAAACTGGTGGTCCAAGAGATGAACCATAAGAAAGTCTCCTAATTCCTATTGGTACATCGTAATCACTGCTGAATCGGCGATCATTAAATCCGGAAGAACTAGACCTATTATGCGTAGAGAATTGAGTTATTTGCGTGGGAGATGCTTGAGATTTATGCGAAAGTGGAGATGAAGGTGTATGCGGTCCAATAGAGCTTTCAGTATTGCCACGTGTTCGTCTAGGTGGAGTTTCAGATTGCCAATCATTAATAGGTCTCTGTTCTTTTGTTTCTCTTTTTGATGGTAAATTGCTTGTGGGAGTAGTGGGAGTTATATTTTCTCTAATATGCTGATCTGTATCACGAATAGATATTTGCCTATTATCTATATTTGGACTTTCTTTAGAATCATGGTCATCCAGTCGAATCTTTTTGTGTGGAGGCGTTTCACTTTCGTCATCACGCTCAGCTTTTCGAATGTTTCGAATATCTATTTTAGATGAACTTGGACTAGCACGATTATTATCAATGGATGGTTTGTTGCGAGTGGTATCATTTTTGTCAATGACATTTGGAAATGTCCAGCGGCTTTCTCGTGTAATCGTATTGAAATAATATACTTTTTTCTTACTAGAAAGACATTTTTTCCATGGATATGGCAATTCAATTTCATCTTGAAAAGATTGTACGATCTTTGCTTCTTTATTCTGATAATCAATATTTTTATCATCCTTGGAGCGATTATCCACAGTTTGTCCATCTTGTGGATCACGATCACTTTCATCTTTAGACTGTGTATTCTTATCTAAGTCAATAGCTTCCCGGCTATTAGACTCTGTTTTCCCAACTTTAGGACTTGAATCTTCACGTGTTGATTGTTTTTCAGAATCTCTCGGGTAACGATCAGAAGGTTGTCTATGTGAAATTATTTTTTCGCTAACGGCACTTGGACTTAGACGACGATCGTCATTTGCCTTTTCTCTTCTATGGTCTGTGAAATCTTTATCAGAAAATATCGCAGGGCCACGAAAATCACTATCTCTAATGTCACGATCCAGATCCCAAGGAGGCCGCTGCTCGTTTGGTCTTGGATGACGATCAGAAAAAGTTTCCGGTAAAAAATCCCGTATTTGTTCTCTTTCTCTCCCAAATTCAGTATGATATCTATCAGAAGCTATCATATCATTGCGAAGTTCCCGGTCGCGAAATTCTCTTTCAAAATCACGTATTGGACGACGTTCAGGATCTCTAAGATGAATATCCGTCGAGGGCCGATAAAGATCAGGAACTCCAGTAGTACGTGGATGTCCTTCATCGCGCAGTTTCATTCCTCTCTCTCTTATAGATTCTTCGCGTGACCTTGCATCTCTTTCTCTATCTCTCATTAGATCTTCGCGATGTCTTGCTTCTCTCTCTTTGGCGTTGAATTCACGTACTTTTTCTCGATCTTTCAATGGAGTCTCTTTTTGCGTTTTTTCGTGATTTTGTTCATTAGGATTTATAGCACGTTCTCGTGCTGATACACTAGAAGATCTGCTTGCCTCTCCAGCGCGAACTGTGTTTGAAGACAAACTTTCCGATCCTGAATTCCCTTTGTCCATTTCGATACGCTCTCTGTTACGTGGAATTTTATCACGCTCGTTCTTACGCTGAGCGTCAAAATATGCTTTGTTTTCTAAGAAATTTTTATTATTATATCTTGCTGGACGTCCTCGTTCACGCCATTCTCTATCACGTTCGACGTTTCTTTCGAAAGGGAAAGGAGGCGGCCTCTCTATAGCCATAGCACGATTATATCTCTCCTCTCTTTCTCGTTCACGTTCCAAATTGCGTGCTCTACGATCTTCAATAGTAGATTGATATCCGGGTGAACCTGGATTTGGACGAGTCATCCGTTCATTATCATTATGTCGTTCTCGGTCAAGATTACGACCTTCATCAGATGATAGTTCACTGCGAATACTAGAAGATTTAGCTTTTCTTTCTCTGTTATCTTTGATTTCAACTTGTTCTTTTTCATGAGGTCTGTTAGATTCCAAAGATGGATTGTTGTTTGAAGACGGTAGAGCAGATTCATTTGTTTTTTTGCCTCGATCATTTAAGATGTCATTTGGAATTTCGCCTTGTTCACCATCGTCATATTCATCTATTGTGGAATTTTCATCATCGTCAGCTATAATCGAAACAACATCTTCTTTTGCGGGTTCAGAATCATCATAAGAAGCAATTGATTCCTTAGAATCATCATTGCTTTGTTTCCTTCTTTTAAGAGGTACTTCTGACGAATTGATACCAGAGATTACAAAATCTTCTGATTTTTTAGATTGAAGTTCCGGAACCCTTTTCGATTCCTTATCTTGTTCTCGGTGTTTTCTTGCTTCAATTTCCTCTTCTTTTTTTTCTTTATTCTCATTTTGTAAGCCGGTAGTATTGTCACTATTATCCACAGATTCGATTGGTGGTTCTTGGGGGACTTCTTTGGGAATATCTTCATGCCTAAGAAACGAGATTTATCATTTTATATTTATCTCTGTCGAGTATTTTGTCAAAAAATTATATCATTGGATAAAAATCATACTTTTGTATACGCTGAGATTCTTTAGAGGCTTCAGATTTATTGTCCGTTTGGCTTTTTTCTTGAGCCTTACGTATAATAGGGTTGTTTGCAGATTTAGGATTTATCTTATTGTTGTTGCTGTTGCTGTTGTTGTTGTTGTTGCTATTAATATTATTATTATTATTTGTCCCTTTCTTTGTTAGTTCTGCAGATGAACGCTCTTTGGTTTTGACAACAGCAGGTTTGCGATCTATATCTAAAGTACGCTCTTCCCGCTCGACCTAGAGTGCCAAAAAAAGTGCAGATCCAAAATTTATATTATAAATCGTTCCAGATCCAAAAGGTAAATATTAAAATTTAATAATTATTAACTGGACGAGAAATTCGAGTATCCTCTGATATGCGACGAACTGGTTTTCTTGCCTCGCCACTAAAAACATGATCAACTTTTTCTTTTTTCGTTCCTATTTGTCTTTCGGCAGGAGAATTTCCCGTATTTTTCGTTCCCAAACGGTCAAACACTGAGGGCCTTGGTTTTTGACCTGAAGGCTGCTCAGGTAACGTATTCCGTTTTTTTCTTTGAAGCATTGAAGTGTCTCTCGGCGAAGCAGCTGTTTGAGAAGTTGAAGCTTGTGGGTTCACTTGGAAAGGTGGCTGCGGTGGTCTCGGAGGAATGCGTTTACGGTTCGGTCGCTCAGGTGGCATTTTTTGCTGCTGCTGAAGAACGAGGGAATCGCATCAACGCAACACACCTTTCAACCACTTTTTGAACTTATTCGTCCGAATGACCAATTGTGACCATCATTACGTCACATAACGGTTATCCTTCATAAGATTACGTTAAGGATGATTTCATTGGTAGCCGGATAAATTTGCTAGGAAACTCAGTAATTTAGGATTAGTTCCCGACAATTTTTATTAATGTTCCAAGATAAATTGTTTCCCATTTTCGCATTCATTTTCTTGTTTCTTCGGTTGTTGGTTTTCTATCACATGATTAACTTTAAAGTTTTCATGAAACTACCATTTTGATTGGTCGATGTAAGATAACATCCCGAGAAGTATTGATAATTTCATCACGAGTTTAAGACAAATCATTAACAATATAAATTTTTCTTGAAACAGCAAATGGTCCAAATGAACTGATATAAACTTTAACTAATTTGTTATTTCAATAGCTATTAACACCTTGACTGCATTAAATTAAAAATGGTGGTTGTATGGTTGTGGTACAAAGTAGCTTGATCAGAATTTCTTCCTACCATTGGAACCGGCTATTTAGGTAGAAATCAATTGCCCCCGTAACGAATAGGCTTGATTGAAATCTGAATGTAAAATAACATCAGGTATCTTCTTACCTTTCATGTCAAAATAAGTACCAACATCACAGTTTAATTCTTGCTGGCATAACCAGCCATGCTCCACGGTAGAATTCATTCTGATAGATCCTCTCAATATAAATCCCATCCGCGCTCTTGGAATAGGTTGATCTTAATAAATTTTTGTTAATACTTTATGTACAAATCGCGTTATCCCTTGATATATTTCCAAGTGATGATTAAGGTTCTGAGCTGGGATAGACAAAAGTCTTGATGTATTCTTTATGATAGAATTGTTCTACAACTGGGCAACTAAAAAATAGAGAGGATCCATTCTCACTGAATATTCCAACCTTCAAAAGAGAAGCTAAGGTATTATTGTCCAATGGCATCCAAAGGTATGTGACCGTTTTGAATGACTTCCCGGAGTACACCTTGCAAATTATCCAGTTTTACAAATTTTTCCAAATTTGATATATTTGCAAATGCTCGAAAATTTTCCAATTGCTTTGTAAGCGTTCTTCTGAAATAAACTGTGATGCTTCTAATTCAACGCCTCCTACCCAATCTTTAGAAGCCCTTGTAAGTTCTTCCAATGCTAAACGGCATAAACCTGTATGACTCTGCATTGCTTCCATATTGCATCTGTGACAACACCAACTTCTTATGATCGTCTTTTGAACATTTCCTAAACTCGGAAACCAACTCTGTATATTCGTCATAGTTCAGAAAAATATCCCTGAAATAATATTTTATAATGAAGCAACTTGGGGAGGCCATGTTGCCCAATCGGCTTGCTTGAATACCATATGTAGATGTTGCAAGGACACCACAAAGTTGCTGATTGCAAAAACCGGTCTGGACCTTAAAACCTCGCCCAAAATGATTAATGGAAAAGGAAAAAATAAAAAATCCTGTTATAGAGATACCTCTACGTGATATATGTTGTAAGCATCATCAGCGATCAATAAATTATTAGAATCTGCAATTATATCAGTCCACGCCATTGCTACAATCTTTTGAGTATAAGAAGAAAAAAATTCGATTTCTGATTTCGATCTCAAGAGGAATTTCGATGCGCAACATATCCAGCAAAGGAGATGCCAATAACTTTAAGACCGTTTTCCTTGAAGACCATTCCTAATAATTGCGCTAACGCTGTTTTTCCCGAAAATGGTGGTGCCGATATCAGAACTTTCTTGATGTCGGCCAAAATCCTCTCGGTTAGATGTATTCGAAGAACGCGTTTTATTCTTGGTGAGCCTTCAGAGTCGTCCGATTTAAAAAATGGAGATTCAATCGCTAGAGATGTTTGGCGATAAGAAACCGGGAAAAAAGAAAAGCACAAGAATATTAGCAGATATGACACGCTATAGGTGTGAATGAAGCAACGGCATCATTTTATACTTTGAATATCTATGAAAAAACATACTAGGTATTTGATCTTATCGTTATCGTCTACGCTGTTTTTGAGGGATAACGCCACATCATTAAGTTCATTAGGATTTTTAGTGAAATATGTGAATAAGCTAGTCAATTCATCGTTAGAGAGTTTGGCGAGTTCCTCTTTATCAAAGGTGGAGAGGCGATAAACCTCTAATGTTTATTGATCGGCCACACGTTAAAAATAATTCACCATCACGCGTCATTAGTGTGTAATTAATTGCGAATTTTGCTATCGCTATGATATCCGTGGATCATTTTACGGTTATTAATCTCAAAGGAAAATGTCCCGTTTTTGGTACATTTTTTGAACTAACGAACCGGTAAGAAAGTGAGTTACCAATGGAGTATTATTTAAATTTAATAGGTGTATAATGTCAAATAATTAAAACTATCAAAGTCCTTTACAACGGCAGCATTGGTCAAGAACTTTTGGATCGGTTCATCAAAGTGACTTCGATAGAAGCCGAGTCCGATGTATATAGCACCGTTGTAAAGGATTTTGGATATTGTAAGAAACAGAGCGGAATATTTGCAAATTTGCATTTGCTCTTGTATTAACAAAGTCTCATTGAGAACACTAAATTTATTTCTTTATAAGAAAATTTAAAGAATCATATAAAAGATTAGACCGAGGATACAATAAATAATTATAAATATCAATTAATTAACAGTTTATCACCCAAAATAAATTAGAATATATTATAATAGGAATTACAAATAAATCAAAATATAAGATCCAAGCAAATCAATAAAAAAATAAAACAATACATTCTTAAATTGTATAAGTTAATTAATCTTTGCCAATCTCCTCGGCATCTACAAGTAATTTAAACATCTGATTAATAACATAACAATAGTAAATGAAAGTAAAGCAATTGATAATACCTGCACTAGAGGCTCTAGCCACTTCATACCGTCGTGGAGAAGGTATTTTTTTAGGAGAAATCATTCGTTCCGGATCTGCATCATCTTTGAAGAAGAATATTGTCAGCTGAAAAAGGTCAATAAGGGATAATAGTTCAAAGGATTAGCTTTTTTTTTTACCTATATCTGAGATTATATATGGGGATGTTTCTAATGAATTGTCCTGTGTATTTGATAAATCAGAATCATGTCGTATAATTTTTATTGGTCCATCAATTGTAGGAGTGGTGGTGGGCGATTGTGACGCGGAATTTCTAGGTATCTGTCGTATCCCAGATTGTCGAGAGCTATTTGATTGAGAAACAGGAAGATAGTCATCTTCCCAACGGCCATTATCCATTTCATTATGAGGTAAATTTGTATATTTTGGGTTGTTGGTGGTGCTTTCATCGGTTTCAGGACGGGTCTGCTGCTTGAGACGTTCATACCATTCTTTTACTTTCTTTTTTGTGGCTATAGAGAGATGGAGTTTCTTACTATTTTTTCTTATTATTAACTTAAGGAAATTCTAATCTTTTTTTTTTACTTACTGTCAGCAACGTTTACAATTTTTTCTTTGATTACAGGCAATTCGTCTACATTTTGAGAATCAAATTGTTTTTAATAAAATTGAGATCTATTTAATATTCAATTATTGTCTCAAATTTTACCTGAGAAACTAAAATCGGAATTTTGTTGAGTGTTGACAGGACGATTTTGTGCATTCCTAGAGATATGAGTTGTTCCATATCCAGCAGCCCCTATTATAATTATTGCGTTGGTCAAACTTGGATTACCTTAAAAATTCTCTAGCTTTAAATTTTTTTTAAACAAACTCACTATCAGCCTCTGCTGCCAAAGTACGTGCCAATTCTTCGTCACGTAGTAGTTGTTCTCGTGATGTTGACGTCACGATACCACTCTAACAAATATTAAATAATTATAATAAATAAAAAGGATTAAACGTAGAACCCGATTGAATTGGTATTGAAGGAGTTGAAGTAACATACTTCTGTTTGGACGGGTACTATACTGTCTTGACTTTTATAATTAGGATCAGATATTTCTAATAAAGTATTAAGAGCTGGTTCTAAGGCACCACCATGCGCGTCTAATACTTCTTCAAGATAGTCAATGTTTGGGAACATTGCCTTCAAGGTGGCAAGCGCTTCAGCTCTGTCTTCAGCCATGTTTGTTTTATGAAATGCAAAACTCCTTATGAGAAGTCACTTCTAACTACTTGATTAAAATAATGGATACGAACTACATTTTATATTTTCATCATCATATTTCACGTGGATTGAATTCACTGATAATTCTCTCGGCACGAGAGTTTCTTGACGTGATCTTTTTCTTGTTTCTCTTGGCTAAATTTATAAAATAAGGAAACTTATTTAGTCAGTGATTTTCTCGTAAATTTTGATCGACATGCTTATCAGAACAAAATTTCCATCGTTTTTTTTAGTCTAGTTAGCCAAGAAAATGTTTTTTCCCAGAATTATCTCTAAAGCTAAGCCTTTCAGTCGGTCTAAAGTATCTTTTTTTACACCTCTTCGTGTTGGTTCTCTATTCCTTTGTATATCTTCTTGTTCTCGAGCGTTTTCTGAACCTTAGACAGTCCTTAGGTCTTCGGTCTTACGCTTCGGCAGTTGCTGACTCTTTTAATGCACCGAAGAACGCAAATGTAATTAAAATATTTTTTGTTGTTCAACTTTTCATTATGCTTACTATATTAATCACGGTTTTACCCTATAGGGCAGATACACCGTGACTTTAATACCTGGAGACGGAATTGGACCTGAAATATCAGAGTCTGTCAAAAGAATATATGAAGCCGCAAAAGTAAAATGTTATTGAATGAATTTCTAACGCATTCACGAATTATAGTAATTTGTAGCAATTGACGTGTTTTTTATTGATTTGTCTAAGGTTCCTATTGAGTGGGAAACCGTCAGCGTGACACCGGTAATGAGAAAAGGCCGGATTAGCATTCCTGATGAGGCCTTGAATTCTGTAAAGAAGAACACAATTGCTCTAAAAGGTGTATATATGCACGTGGATCTTTTGTTCTTAGACGATAATTGATCATTCAATTCATATGTATAATAATGTGGTTTGCAGGGCCTTTGGCTACACCAATAGGGAAAGGACATGTTTCCCTTAATCTTACTCTTCGACGTATTTTTCATCTTTTCGCAAATGTCCGGCCATGTAAATCAATCGTTGGTTTCAAGACTCCTTATGATGATGTAAATACAGTTTTAATCAGAGAAAATACCGAGGGTGAATATTCTGGAATTGAACATACTGTAAGCGAAATTTGATCCCAATATCATTTATGTAATATCTCCAATACATTTTTACTAAGTTATCTTATATTAAGGTGGTTGATGGTGTTGTTCAATCAATAAAACTTATCACAAGGGATGCTTCTGAACAATGTGCGCGCTATGCTTTCAGATATGCACAAGATATTGGACGTAATCGAGTTACTGCAATTCATAAAGCCAATATCATGTGAGAATAAACTTAAATTTCGAATGTTAAATAATCCGTCTAATAGCTCAAACGTAAACATGCTATTTCATTATATAGGAAACTATCAGATGGTCTCTTCTTGGAAGTCGCTCATGAAGTTTCCAAGGACTACCCAGATATCAAGTTCGATGATGTTTTGCTGGATCGTGCTTGTCTTCACGTAAATAAAAAAAAATATGAAATCAAAATTCTAGTTGATTTTGATCTATCGATTTTTTTCGTGTTTGTTAGATTGTTCAAGATCCAGCGCTGTATTCAGATACTGTTATGGTTATGCCAAATTTATACGGCGATATATTGTCCGATATGTGTGCCGGATTGATTGGTGGTCTTGGTTTGACGCCATCCGCAAATATCGGAAAAGATGCTTCAATATTTGAAGCTGTCCACGGAACAGCTCCGGATATTGCGGGCAAAGGTAAAGTTTATTTTAATTTATCGTGAACTTGTGAGAATTATTTGTTGCAATATTTAAATAACTTTCTTAAATTGTAAATTTAAAGATTTGGCTAATCCAACTGCTCTCCTTTTATCGTCGATAATGATGTTACGCCACATGCGACTCAATACATATGCTGATGATATCGAAGCGGCGGTATTGAAAACAATAGCCGATGGCAAACATCTCACTCGCGATCTCGGTGGCACCGCTTCCAATACAGAATTCACAAATCAGATTATAAGCAAGCTGAATAGAACTTAATTTAATTTTTATATATTATCTTAATATTTATTATATTTAATTGCATTCTTGTGGTAAATAATAAATTGGATGGGGGATCCCGATTAATGGAATTTTTTTGTTCCACAAATGTAGGTAAGTCACGAGCGGAAATAGTCAAGAAATGACGCAGATCTACCTCGCATAATACCAGACAGGATACAATCCAAAAATGTACAATCGCCTTGAGTCAATCTTTTTATTACAAGGCTTAGAGAAACCCGCAAGAAAGTTGTTTATTCTTGACCATTTGTAGTACTATATCCATGCAGAGTACGCCCTACGAAGTCTTTAAAATTGCCCAGAAAAATTGGGATTTTTTGATCTTTGTTCTTACAAAATATAAATCAATATATAAATAAATTTATGAATGGCCCAAGCTTGCTTACGAGATCGATCATGCGTGACTGATTTTTCCGGTCCAGCCAATACAATCGCTTCCTATAATCAGAGTATCGCAAACATACAAGACTTTACACCAGAAATCGAACCAGACTCTCCCCAAAATTCTCCAATTTCTTACCAGGCTTTTTTTCGAAAACTTTTGGCCCTCAAAATGGTGTGCTTTCATTATTTTTTGTGGGCCTATGTTTTTAGAAGCGAAGACAATACTGAAACAATAAATATTAGTAAAAGAGTGGCTTTAAGTTCGATGAAAAAACAAAAAAGATGCAATATGATTCAAATGGAATTCCCCGAAAAATACTTCTTTTACTTTATAACAGGGAGACCAACTTGATTGCGCATTGGATCTTATGAGAAGACTGTCTCCTCAAAACATGGAGGAGAATCTCACCAAACTCATTGATATTGTGCCAGATCTCCAGGAGGATATACTCAATGCTGTCGATCAACCTTTGAAAGTCAAGCAGTGCAAAAAAACAGGACGAGATTACTTGGTCGCGGAGTATAATAGGGATGGAGATTCAACTCGGTAAATTTTTCAAACGATAAATAATTTTTTATAATGTACAAGACGAGCAATATATAAAAGAAAAAAAATTCAAAATTAATACGAGTAAAACTTTCATTCCTTAATTGCCCAGATCTCCTTGGTCAAACGAATATGATCCACCTTATCCAGAAGGTTTTGTAACTACGGGCAAACTGAGGAAATTAGAGATAACCGCCAATGAAGCATTTAATATTTACCGTGAAATGTATGTGAGAGTATTTTCTAAATACTATCGATTTTTGAACTATCATTAATTACAGCCTATTCAAATAGGTATTATGACGGTGGATATTCATCTGCATATTTATGGGAAGAAGGAAATGATGGATTCGCGGGTGTTGTTCTTTTCAAAAAAGGTTAGAATTTAGAATACAAAAGTTTTTACAAGTTATGCTGACAATATCATTTTTGTATTTTAGTTGATGAAGGAGGTGATAAACGAAAAACGAAGGGAGCTTGGGACTCGATTCATGTATTTAGTTTGGAAGAAAAAGGTCGCAAGGCACATTATAAACTAACATCGACTGTAATGTTATACACAATCACCACGAAACCCGAGCTTGGTGATTTGAACTTGTCTGGAAATATGACTCGTCAGGTAAAATTTATTTACTCACACGAGAGATTTCCAGTATTTTTATTGATATCGTATTTTATAGGTTGCAGTTGAATATACATTTGAAGATCCACAAGCTCATATCGCGAATATTGGGCGTATAATAGAAGACATGGAGTTAAAGATGCGAAACTTGCTTCAAGAAGTATACTTCAATAAAACAAAGGATATTGTCAACGATTTGCGTTCTGTTGATTCTCTTATTGAAGCTAACAAACAAGCAGAGACTCGGAGGGAACTTGTGGAAAAAATTCTTGAAGCTAACAGACAAGCAGCAAAGGATGAGAATCGGAAGGGACTTGCGGAAAAAATATTAAATATATCCTCATAAACATATAGAAATGGTTTAATCCTTATTTAATCACAATCTAACTTGTTTTTATGTATGATAAAGTATGTATTCAAAATTTATAAATTCAAAACATAATAAACTACTTGTTTTTCTCGTAATCCAAGTATCAATAAATCATGGCCACCATTCTTTCTGAAATAGAAATTAGTAATGTCGTCGATCGACATCCTATATTTACTGAACCATTCGGCTCATAATATGCGTATGCGATAATTTCAAAAGTACAAAGCTCCATAGTTAATAGCAAAATAATATTAGATAATTTTAATATCTATCCAAAATTTTAAATCTATAAAATTATAACCCAAGAAAAAACGCGATCCTTTTATAAAATACAAATAAAAATCCAAATAAAATACAAATAAACAAAAAAAAAGGTCTTGACAAAATAACAAAAATCTACATGACCCTATAATTTCTTACCTGCCAAAAATCAAAATTTTGAGCGTGCGAGATAAATAAAAAGCAAATTAGCATATACGTATTTTCCATTATTAATATTTTGGTAAACTTTGTAAAAAAATAAACAAATAAAAATCATAATTACATCAACAACTAAAAATAAAATGTTTTTTACAATTTATATCATCATTATTATACCTATCGATGAAACATAGTCTCGATTAGAGGTTTTAGTAATGCACAGAAAAAAGCAATCTATGATAAACTCACATTTTTCTCTTTTCCCTTACTCGATCCTATAAAACGGTCAATTGTGCCATGTTTAGAAAAATCTTGTATGCGGGTCCTTATCTCACCACGTTTTTCTGTTTGACAAACAGTGCACTTTGTTTCCGGAGGTTCATTTTCAGTATCACCGTTCGTATATTCGGTTTCGAGACATCTTCGATGGTATCCGTGGCCACATCGGAACAAAAGCAGGTCATTTTCTTGAGTAACCGCCGTAGTATTCACTGCTATTGTTTCTTCTGTAGTGGTCATCTTGGTTGTGGATGCTTCGTTAGAGATTTCAGACCGTTCAGAGTCATCCTCCGCTGCCGCAGCCTCTAAATTTGGAATGAGATCTGCAATAGTTGCATTGGTTGATATATGGGATGAATGGGGCATTTTCTTTTCGGCTGAACCCCAACCAGATGTTGTACGGAGGGTCAGTGGGGTTAGATCCGTTCCCCAGAACTGACCCCCACAGACCTCACAAGTCCCCCTTCGAGGACGCCATCCTTTACCACGTTGTCGTACAACACCTGCTACACCCCAGAACAAGTCCTTTTCAAATAGTCGGTTGGTCATAGCTAGCAACTGACCTTCATATTTGTATGTATCAATCATGCCAACGAAAATTTCCCGAAAGTCTGCAACTGTGCTATTCCTCTTTGACTGTGATTGAATAAACCGTAGGAGGAGCCGCGGCAAAGAAACATCCTTGGAGGTCGACAACAGCAATGATCTCATGATGGACTGAACATAGGATTTAAATGTGGTCATAAGATGATTCGCGATGTGGGTGGGTACAGGTAATCGTGGCATCCCAAATGAAGAAACCTGTCCATTGGCCATTATTCTCTCGGGTAGTAAAGGTGGAAACTGTGTTGATAAATTTGACGAAACTGCTTTTGTGGCATCCAAAAATGCATCGAGAAGCTTGAACCAAAGTAGTTCAGTCTCACTTTCATTTGCACGATTAGGCAAAGGTATAATTGGAGATGAACTGGACTCACCGACGCAACTGGCTAAAGTGGCACGTCGACAACTGTTTTCGCATAACATTATTCCTATTTTAAGAACACCTTTTAGTTTCATTAACGATTGATCTACTTTAGTTTTTTCTTGAACTGTCCATCGATCATTTTTGGAATTTTTTTTATCCTCAATCAACTGAAGAATATCGTCTTTTTTTTCTTGGACAATCTTTAATACTCTATCAAGAGCACCTAACGCATCACCTTTTCTTTCCAATAACCATACAACTGAGTCTACAATACCAGCAGTTTCACATATAGGAAGCACATCATCAAGTATATAAGTATTATCTTGATGTGTTTGTAAATAATGATATACGCCGGTTGGATCGAATTTACACATTAGAGCAATATATTTTTCGTGTATTTCCGGGCCAATTTGAGGTTTGAATTCGGTGGCATTAATTTGATCATCAACGGTCTGTAAATTATCGTCGGTCGATGTGGAATCTTGTGGCTCAAGCAACCCTCTTAGGTAGGTGAACAAGCGAACAGGTGATGATTCCAAGTTCGCTATTACTCTTTGATGATCGCCGTCAAAATAAGTATGAATCAGTTGAGCAGTACGTTCGCCATCGATATCAACAATATCGTCAATCATTGACATAACTTTAGCGGAAACTTCGTCACGTTGATGTGAAGTGAGTTCACTTTGAGGATCTAACAGAGCTCGAATGCAATCAAAAACTTCTTTTTTTCGATCCGCGTCTTTTAAATAAGTTGTAACCAATAAATCGTATTTTTTATCAGCTTTATATACATGCTCTAGAACACGCCAAAAACCCGCATTTTCATAAAGAACCACCATTTGCTCTTCATCCTCGGGCGTATAAATCGAAAGCAAACATTCAACTGCAAACTGACGTTCTTCACGTGTACGAGGATCATTGTCCATGCTGAGTTTGACTAATATCTTCTTAATAGTCGATGGTGGTAATAAAAGAAATTGTGTATATTTAGGCAAATTCCTTGCCACAAAACAATATAGATAAGAAATGTCCGACGTAGTGAACTCTGAATGTTCTGTAGAAGATGATGTCATTACTTCAAGTAATATATTGACTAGTAATTGTCGATTAATTATTTTTCCTGGAACTTCTTCTTCTCTATCATGTTCATCATTACTCGTAATTATCTCAATTCCGTTTAGATATGAATCTTCAAATGCACATTCCAAGGCTTCTAGAAAAGCATGAGTGTCAAATCGGAGGAAAAGCCGTAAATAAGGATATGTTGGTTCTGCACCGTGTAATGCATCTTCCGCGGTCAATACGAGATTTCCACCATGTCTGGGCCAAACTACGCATCGCCCCGAGAATACAAAAGAGTATAACATGGTGCGAGCTTCATTTGCCTCGTTTTCGTTTAGTGGAGCACCGTTTGGATAGGTACGACCAGTAAGAATGTTCTTTAAATAAACATAGAATTTGCGAGCATTCGCTCTCATCCTTTCCAAATCTTCTGTTTCCAGGCCATTACTATCGGAGGCGACGCTGATCGAAAGACGATGCTTTCGACGTTTACGCTTCTCTAAGATTAATATTTTTCGAATTAAATCCAAGAGTTCAACAGCAGGACTCACATAGTCAACCATAGAGCGATTAAATACGTATATATAAGCGTCGTATAATCCCTTGCTAGAGCAAAGTTGCACAACTTGGTCAATATCCAAGCATTGTGGATTAATATGAAATATACATTCTTCTACACGAGCGAGCATACGTTTTTCACTATAATGAGAAACAAGATTTTTCATAATTTCCGGTGGTAAATCTCTTATTTTATCCCCTATGATATATGGTTCGAGAACCTCGAGCAATGTACTAGTTGCTAAGGCACTAGAATATCGTTCATATACCTCGGTAAAAAGAAATTCTTCTTTATGCATACTAAGACAAGCTTCGACACATTTTACGGCCAATTCATCCACATCAATCATGTTTTGAAATGTTCTTTCAGTTGGTTCAGCTGGAAATGCGTAATTTAAGGAGGCAACCAAAAGTTCCATAAGTTTTTCTCCTACAATTGCATGTCGACTTTCCTCATCATCGGGTAATCCCAATATTGTTTGGGATGATGTTCCATTATAGAATGAAGTAGCCAACGCAATGGCTTGAAGTAAGTCACCCGATGAAAAATGGGCCAAAATACGGTCTGCCCAAGACAATAATGTGCCAATGAATAATTGCCGCACCCCCTACAATAGATTTTATATAGGTGAATGTTAGAGTGAAAATATTTTTAGCTAAATAATTTAATAAAAAACTTACCAATAAAAATACTGCACCCTTATATACTCGAATACTATGATAATAGGCTAAATCTACAGTCAATTTATTTTCATTAGATATATTTGAAATTTCAGGCATATCTTTTAAGGGAGCTGCAAACCGATCATGATATACTAATGATTTTCGTCTTATATTATTTTGTTCACTTTCTTCCATAGTCCTCGGATCAAATACGATTATATCTTCTGTACTTGTAAGAATCAATAAAATCTATGCGTACAAATATCTTTTAAATTAGCTGTTTTCGTTAAATAAGCACGCACTCGTAACACTCACATGATGTGATAACCATTGCAGGGCGACTATGCCATTTTTATTTTTCCATTCTCCAACTTTTGTGAATTCTAAACGAACTTCACGATCTTGTCGACGACGTTTTGTTGGAGTTTCAGATTGAGCTACTGTTACCTTAATTATCGTCAAATGATTTCCCCATGAGAATGCAAGAAGTGGATCTGTATCCACTAAATTTGACTCTACTGTAACACAAACAAACATCAATAGGAACTATGCATAGGAATGAAAAGCTAACTAAAAATATAATGCACCACTATAATACCTGCATTTAGTTTGACTTTGACTGCGGGATACCATGCAAGACAGCCCGAAATCGATTTTGTTGAGTCAGGAAGATATCTCGGTTTAGTGTACTTATATTGTTGTTGTATGGTTGGCTTAGTGCTAACAATTGTCATCTAAATTTCGCGAAATGATTTAGAGGATTTATTGTCCATAAAACTAGAATTTCATTTAAGAATTTGATTACTTTATATGGAGTCAGCATAGCCACAAGTCCAAATCCTTCAGATCCATGTGGAGATTGTCCTAATGGTAAGGGTGCTAGGCCAAAAACGACACTTGGACGAGGCGGTTTTGATGCTACGGGAGTTTCTGGTCCAGAAGTAGAAACGGGATAACGTCCAAGTATGCGGGTAGTTTCGGACGCATTTACCATCATCACTTTATATAAATTATGATAAAAAACCATGCCCTAAAATCCTCACAAAAAATAACGCAAACGTTATTAATAATTTCATTATTTAATACAGGAAAAAAATATTATTAATACACACATGATTATCGCCGGAAACTATTCCGTTTTTTCGAACTCCCACGAAATCTACATGTAAAATTGAGGATCCTCGAATATGTCCCTCTTTTCGACCACCAGCAGCAACTGCGGTTGAAATTGGTAATATTGTTCTTGTGGGATTATGCGGTCGAGAAATATCCCATATAAAAATATGTCCTTGTGCATGTCCACTTACAATTTGTGTGTGATCGGTTGATATACATAGCGAAGTTACGGCGCCATGTTCCAGAGCTTTCGATATTTAAATTATTTCATAGGTGAGTTTATCAGATTTCATCCCGATAATAAGAAAAAAATCATAGAAATCATACCATTTGCAGTAGTTCCAAGACATTTTAAATTTTGTTCTCTTTTCTCTTTTTTCTCATTCTTCTCATACACTTCATACACTAAGATTAAGCCGCGTGTGGTACCCACAGCTATTACTCCGCTTACCTATAAAATATATATGGTACCTTAATAAATTTATACATCAGGGAAATATCGAATTTTAAAATTTAGCTTACCGCTAAGACTGTGGGAAGTCCGTAATTTTTGCTAAAATTAGTAGAATAAAGTTGATCAGAGATTGCTTCTAATGGAATCCATCGAAATGCCTCCCATGGTTCTGGTGGTGCAGATAATCCTATATCCTCAAGGCCCAATAGAGAAGGTGTCGATGGACGTGAATGTCTAGATGAAGGAGCGCGTGATTGCATCGATGTGATTGAATTAGAAGATGCAGAGCGAAGCCGTGCAAGGCTGGAATCAAGAGCTTTGAAAGAAGGCGGGGACATAGGTGTAGCTAAAGTGCTCGTGGTTGATCTGCGTGATATATCTGATTGTGAATCCTAGGAATATTATATATTAGTAAGAAGTTTTATAATCTCTCATAATCAAAAATTAAGTGAATACCTCAAAAATTCCTACTGATTCTGTATCTTGAGTTTCAGAATCTACGTATTCCTCATCACTTGATCCATCTGATTCGTTTAATATTTGATCTAGGCTTAAGTGTTGTGCTATTAAAAATATTTGATATTTATTAATAAATATACAATAAAGAGTATGCCATAAACGGTAATGATTAATACCTTTATTTGAAAATTCTTCATATAAAGCAGCCTCTTTCATAACCCTGTCAAGAAGATCTTGAACTTTTCTGCGACGCTGAGCTCCAAGTGTTGATGGCTCAGCTAAAGGTCCACCTTGTAAATGAATTTGAAGATCTTCTTGAAGTTTATATAACTCTGCAAGTTTGGCCTTAATTGTACTTTCTGCTGTAATTGGGAGATCCAGCTCGGGAATTCTCAGAGTCTCAAAACAACTTTCTATATCCACAAGTGATGAAATGCCATTGACTAATAATTTATGTAATAAAACGAGTCAGTCATGAGAAAGTAAAGTAATTGATTTGATTTGGAACATCAGCATACCGAGACGTGATATTGAACCTTCCGCTATTTTCGGTGGCGGATGTGACTCTTGTGTTTCAGTTGTAGGTGTTGAAGGTTCGTCGTCGGGACTATTTTATAAAAAAGCAATCAATAAATGTGAAAAGAATAAGCGAACAATTTGCAAGTTGGTTTGCCGTTGTTTATTAACAGAGTATTCTAACCTTGCATCTGTATCATCTTCGTCATCGCCGCTATTAGCAGGTGGCATCCCATTACCGTCGTGCAATAATTCAAGAGCCCTCTTCATGGCATCAGTTAAGCCAGCTGCTTTCCAAGCTTCCATTTTTTTTTTCAGATTGTTCACATATTGTTCTGTTTGGACCTTATCCTCCAACGCCGCTTCCAGTTCAGGAGGAAACTGTCCATCAGAGACGCCGCCATTCGATAAAATAGGGAAGTTTTTCAAGAAGTCATCGTCTGTGTCAGATTCCAATATTTGTTTTAGAAAAAGGTCGTAAGTGTCTGTTTGAATTTTAGTAGCTGTCATAGAGAGAACCTTTCAATACAAGCGAAGTCTCAGAATTTTGTTCTGGAGTTATCGTTATACGCCAAACTGCAAAAGAACCAAAGTTTAGTCTGGTCACTTGATCCCGATGCAGATCACATCATAAAACCAGAAACACGGGTCAAATCTATTCACAATCGAATCTTTATATTTTATGTAATGCCATTTTGTGCCACTGCTAACTTTATAAATACGTGCACAGAAACAGGGAAATACAAGGACAAGGCATTTTTATTGTGAAAAAAGTTTTGCAACAATGCAAGGAGTTGAGATATAATTGCTGTTTAGGTGCATATAACTTGCTGCAGAAAATACTGCGGCGGTAGTAAGGAGATGTCTCATGATGAATTTTTTCTCCTGTACTCTCTAAAAAATCAAAGATTTTAAATGGATTTATTCACTGAACAAATAAAGAGAGAGAGATAAGAAGTTATTCTCACCAAAATTTATGATACCGATCCAATTATGGTCTTGAAGTTTTTAATTCAATAAACTCTACAAAGAAACTCTCCACCTGATCTAAGAGCAATAGCGTCACGCATTTCTATTACCCCAAAGTTTGTGCTCACAATTGCAATTTCGCCTGGCTGCAATGGTGCAATGAATCTTGCACGTCGACCACCGCATAAAGATACAAAGTCTTCGAGTTTCATCCATAATCTCCTTGAACCTTTACTGACAACACGCATTCTAGTGAGAACTGGTTTATTGTCCCTGTATTTGAGGTCAAGCCATAACCGACGCGTTGCTATATTTTCCGGGGTTGTGGGTGTATAGCTAATATCGGGTTGAAGATGGTCACCACGTGTTACCGACGATATGAAACCTTCTTTGTAGAGCACCTTGCTAATAGCAAGATTCATTTTTGTATCGGGTACAGCTATACTTTTTAGACGTGCTAAAAATCCATTTTGAATACGCGCGCATATATCGTGAACTGGTGCCATTGCAATTTAACGGATACTTCCGCGTTACCGTAATTTTAAAATGTGAGGCCGCGTGGCTAACAACACAATGGTCCGAAAAATATTTGACATTTCCCTTTTTTGGTAAGACATGTGCTACAAAGACATCTGAATTTTATACTCAATCAATTTCTAAACTTTGATGGAAAATCAGAGATTAAAGATTTTTCCGCAATCTATAATTTTGATAGAGCGCAGAGCCCCCCGTTAAAAATATTTATCCCTTCTTCTTGTTATTCTTTGTCTCGTCCTTTTACATTTTTAGTCTCGATTCACTGTCTTTATAGTTGAACTTATTAACCAAAAGATCTCGGCGTAAGTATTTATATATATATATATATATACAGAATTCAATTTGAATTTGCTTATTTACTAATAATTTTTTTCTATATTATTTAGTTTCACCATACATTTATAACTTGTTATCATGAAGTTTTTCGAGTCTTCGCACATTTTTCGCTACCCGTGGTCACATGTTTCGGCCGCTAACTGGCGCAAATATCCAAATGACAATTGTCCGCATGTTATAGCAGTTGACGTTCTAGATAGACATGTTGACCCAGTAACAGGTATACTTAGAACTGAACGTTTGATAACGTGTCAACAGAACATTCCAAAATGGATCTTAACACTGTGCGGTGGCTCGACTGTGTCTTATGCTCGGGAAATCAGTGAAATTGATCCCAAGAATAAAGTGCTTCGGATGACGAGTTATAATCTATCTATGAATCATTTGGTTAATGTTTCCGAGACTGTCACTTATACTGAAGATCCAAAAGATTCATCAAAGTAAGTAAACCTTCGTGTAATAACAATCCTATAAAGCCATAAAAAGGGAACACAACTAATATTGATTTATTTTTTTAGGACATTGTTTCAACAAGAAGCTCGAATAAAATGTGGTGAATCTATCTCAAAATTTGCTAATTATCTCGAAGACTTTTTCATTGCTCGTTTTCGAGATAATGCAGCTCAAGGACGACAAGGATTCGAGAATGTATTGGATCGATTATTAGGGCAAGGGGAAACTGCTTAATTATCAAAATGCACGAAATAAGAACTATGACGAACATTATTTACATTTATTCTATTGTAAATATTAGTTGTGTGTTATATCACTGGGTCATATAATAATCACCTTTTTTAATAATCATTTTTCGTCTTGGAAAATAATAATTAATTCACTTTCTTAAGCTTAAAAGTTATTTGCATTTTGCATTTTAAATAGATCAACTATATATAATACACAATATTATCATATTAATTAGATTATTTCTACTTAAAAAATTTTGTTTTTTTTTTAATCCTTGAGATTCGTAAAAGATAAATCTAACGACTTTAAGCCATACTTCAAGTTGAATAATCTAGAATATCAATAAATTCAACTTAATTTTTGCATAAATACCTCGTAATATATTATGGCTATATTATGTATAATACTCTAAACTTGTCAATTTATTTTATTGGTGCTTGTACAATCACAGTATAAGCTAATACATTAGGCCAGTATAAACAACAGACAAATGGAACTATATAGTTACCCAACAGTTGATATTCCATCAAAGTAGATTTCAAAAAATTGCCCACATCTACGCCAGATAACAAAAGAAGTCCAGGCGGGGAGATTAAACATAATACAAATAATTGAAAATAACGAATTGCTTTTGATTCATGTGGCTGAAATAAGGAAAAGGGGATGATCACGATTAATGCAGTAAAGACGGCTAGGCTGAAATTCAGCACGGAGAGACACGATATTATCATGCCGGTGAATGCAAGTGTAAAACATTTCAAAATAATCCAATCGGCAGCTGGTTCAAGTTGCTGTGGTCGGTCTTGAGAATTCGTATCGTTCGTTTTTTCAATTCTATGGGCAATTTGATTTTTAGTTGGAGCGCGACTTTCCATAATAGAGACTAAGACGAACGAGACTTTTATTAAAATAAATATAATCAAGGCCAAAACCAAGAAATAATCCTACGAAGAAATTAAACCGATTAGGGAATGACTTGATATGATGAATAGTAATCACCAAATAAAATCTTCACCTGAATAAACAAAAGGCTAGCCAGTTTATTGAGAAGGAAATAATTTTTAATCATAAAAAAAATCATGATGCCGGTAGCATGAGTCGTAATCAATACAGTCAAAGAGAATAAAATTCGACGTGGCCTTCTATTGAATGGAGAAGGAGTCGGAAATTTCTGTTCTATCTTGGGCTCTTTGGAAGATTGTGAATGCTCATTAGATAGAACCAAAGTTGTGTCGTCGCCAGTTGAGCTCCATAATGCCAGAGCGTGAATAAGATAGTAGTTAAAAATAAAATAAAGATCCGGAATGTGTAATATAAGTTTCAAGTATTAAAAAAAGGATATATGTAGAATTAATCCAACCGCAAGCAGGATGGAAGGTGGTAAATAAGAGCCGATTGAAATATATTTCTCAGGCGAGGGTAAAAGATAGAAAAAGAAAGACTGATGAAAATGTTCAAGTAAATTATTCAAGCTTCTAAACGTTGACTCGACTGCACTATTCAAAAGTAAACAAAAAAAATCAATTTACAAAAACCAAGTAAAATCCATAATGTCAAAAATTAGAAAGTTCGCGTACGTTCCAATTTCTAGAAACATGAATGGTTGATGAGACGCCTCCATCCTATGACCATAGAGAGTAACTGCGTCGATTTTATATCTAATGAAAAGATTGATATCAGTGCTTTTTTTTTAATTATTACTGGTTTAAATAAAGATTTTATCCTAACCTGAAAAATAATCCATGGCTTCCCGTTGAATGTCCTAACGCTTGATATTTCATTGTCAGCATCAAGTTGTATAGAGAAGAGTAATAATCACCATGATCGTTTGCCCAATATACATGACCAGTATCATGCAGCATGATTGGAATTCGACCTGAAATACGAACTATTCGAACTATTGTATTTATTAAATCTAGATTTGGAAGTTGTCCATTAACACCCTCTGAAAAAAAGAAAATAATAATAAATTTTAGTTCATGCATTCTTTTTTTTTTGAAGATAAAAAATATTAAAAATAGACATTAACCATAAAATATTCCTAAAACTTGGTAATCTTTTGTCCCAGGTAAATCTAAATTAACTGCAGCCTGAATGGCACCCGAGCGTAAAAACAAAGGACTCGACATGATATCTTTGAACATAAAAAAAAATAAATAAACATTGTCAAAATTACAAAAAAAAACTATTCGAAATTTTTACCTGAACGTGGATTATCGTGATATGCTTCTAACCAGGCTTGAACACCAGCTTCGCCCCCATCCGTTATTAAGATTATAATATCCTTTGACCAATATGTGTATTCTCACAAAGTTGTCAAAAACTATAGTCAAAATTAATAATGCAAAAATAAAGGAACAAGCAAATAATATAGTGGATATAAAAATCTAATTATAAATAATGAATTTTTCAGTGAACCTGTACTTTGGAAAAATTTCCCAATTGATAAAATTGCGGCGACGCCATTAATATTAACTGAATAAAATATAGATTTTTAAGTTAATTAATTGAAGATGGTCATTTGAATCAATTACGAAATAACGAATGAATTTATACCTGTTTTCCCATCCTTCGAAATCCAAGGTGCGCTCAAAACTAAAGCTTCTGTTCCATCACCACGAGGAGCAGAGAGTACACCGAAAACATTGACTCCACTTATTTCCTAATAAATCCAAATAAAAAGATCAGATAAACGAGAAAGTGTTAAATAAAAATAAAAAAGATCAATACCTTTCCTAAGGCATTTACAGTGAAATTTTGGGTCTCCGTTTTTATTCCTACTTTACGAAGTTCATTTTCAATATAAGCAGTTCTTCTATAATGTTAAAATTCAATTATCAGATATATATATATTTATTATTATATAACAAAAGCACATAGAAAGGTACATACTCTATGCTGGAGGTTGATATACTTTCAATGTTATCACGATAGACACTAGCTTCGTGTACCTGTGGCCAACTATAATACGTATTAACCTAATGCAATAATTTGATGAAATTTAAGATTTGACGAAAACGCGTATTTGAGAGATTATTTGTTATTCTTAGGTCTACCTGTCCCGGAAGAAGCGCGTTTTCTGAGATATAAGTATGTTTGTTATATTCGTTTGAAGGAAGAACAAAAAGCCAGCCAACCCCGATAGCGAATAATAGGAAACTAAAGAAGAAAATATCGATCCTGAATATAATCTTTTTCGAGAACCAAAAAGCCTAAACAATCAAATCAAACAAGTTAAGTAAATTTACCGAAGACGCGGTATCCACAGTTTTAAAGTTCGCAACAACGCTCGACGCCTTTGGAGACGAGCTCGTGTTGCTGAAGCGCTCTTTGGTGTGCTCATAGAAATTTTTACAAACTTGATCTAAACCACGATAAAAAATTAATTATATGTATAGCCAATCATTTAACGCGAAAATCCCATATAGATACCACCGAAAATCAAAACTATTCTTAAGAAAGATGGAAGACTTACGCACACTTCCGTCAAAAGATGCAAATGCATTTTCACGTTTTGTACCCCGAGAAACAGCAACCGTACCAAAGTTCGCAACCTTCCTACCAACAGAAAGTACTTTGCCAAAGTCTCGGGATCAAAGTAAGTTGTCAAAGAGTATAGGACCAAGAATAAAGTATTGAGCGTATTTACAAAGGAGAGGTTAGCGTTCTTGTTTATAATTATTGAAACTCGTTATATTTAAATTCACCAAATATTAATATTATTATTATTATTATTATTATTACATTTCATTCACTTCACTATTTATAAAGTCATCAATAGCCCAAGAGCCGATGTCTTCTTTCGGTATGATTATAAAAGCAACAATGGACGAGTGAGATAAAGAATACTTTTGTTTCAAATTTATTCATTATGTGAATTTATTCAGAGCTTTACAACTTTGCTTCTCAGATTTCAACACAAAAACTAGTAACTGGCTCTCCAACTGGTTCCTTTTTTGAGTTTCATGATAATACTTCCTCTGCATTATCATCATCTTCAAATTCAAGATCACCTTCACCGACATCCCATGACATAAGTAGCAATAACAGTAATAAATCGAAAGGGAAAGAGAAATCTTTGAAAAGAAAGAAAAAACTCGGAATTCTTGATTCTGATTTATCTTCTGCTGAGGAAACGGAGGATAAGAAAATATTAAAAGAGAGCATCGAAGATACTCATAAAGCCTGGGACGCATTCAATAGTGTTCTTAATGGAAATGATCCTCTTACAAAAACTGGGAAAAAGAAAAGGAAAGGAAAGGTCTCCAATAATAGAATGCGTGGCGGTCGTGCAAGAAAAAGGGTTTCTGAATAACTGTTGCAACTTAACATCTTATGATGCTTTACATGGTTAATGTCAAAATTTATATAATATTTCGTTTTATTTTACATTTTTGTTATTGGGATTAAAGGAATCAAGTGAAAATAAGATAATCTTTTACATGTTTTGTAAATCAATATAAACAAAGGTTGATTGGTCCCAATAAAGTATTTAAATATAAAAGTGGAATATTACAAGTAAAGGTATATATGTATTAAAAATTTATATATACAAAAAGGAATAATTGAAGTTAAAGAATGATTATAAAAAACATCTTCTATACAAATCTAATTTTTTTTTGAATAATAGAAGAAATCTTAATGATATGGTAAAAAATGAAATAACTTTTTTGTGAAGAAAGCCATCACAGAAAATTTTTCTTTAAGATATAATGTTTTTGATTTTTACGAACTCCGTCAAAATCACCGTTCTTCATGTGCGTATTTTTCCATTTCACCCTTTGAAGAGAATCTATCATTTCTTCCACCAATCATTAAATTATTATTATTATTATTATTATTATTGTTATTGTTATTATTATTGTTGTTGTTGCTGTTGCTGTTGCTGCTGCTGCTACTGCTACTGCTGCTAGCACTAACGGAATTCTTATCAGTATCTATTATGTCTAGACGTCTTGATGAAAGAGAACTATCTAATCCAAAAGTGCTTGGATTTCCACCGCTGGTATTACTGCTAATATTACTAGTCGACATATGTGTTGGCGTGTTATTTGCATTCAAGGATCCACGAATTGGTGTTGTTGATCCTATTATTTAAAATAAATTGAGATTAATCAAAATAATTAAATAATCGGGATCGAGGAAGAAAAAGGGAATAGAGAGGAGTGACTAACCGGTAGGTGTACCGGTTACAGGGTGATCGTTCAGGCTCAAAGGGTTTAATGAAGGTATTGGGACTGACTGACGTCTTGCACTTGGAATTAATGTGTTGCTATATGGAGTGGATGTTGATGTACTTGCTTCTGGGTTAACGGGAAAAGTCTCACCTTGAAAACCTTGACGATTCGAACTATCAAAAGGATTACCAGTTCCATATTCAACCGTGCCTTGTTTGGATCCCACTTGTCGACTAGGCATTTCATTTTGCTGCTGTGGATCCGACCCAGATGAAGCCATATTCGTAACGGATGATTCTTCAATATGTTTTGCAGGTGTTTCGGAAGAAAGCTGCGGTGATAATGATGACTTTTTGTTTGGACTTTTACGTGTGCTTGTAGTATTTTTCGTGGGGGCATGATATAGATAGTGGGAAGGAAATTCAGAAGGAATTGAATACGAAGATTCATAAGGCATTCGCGGAGGATATTGTGGCGGATAATCTGGCATTCGTGATGGTGCATAATGCGGATGCGGATGAATATAACCAGCTGGCGGAGGTCCATATGATCGTGGCGAGGATTTACTATTAGTAATACTGTGATCATTATTTTGAGAGCTATTTTCTGGAGATTCTATTAAATTTTGTATCGGTATTTTCGCTGGCATTGAACTGCCCGGAGAAACACCAAAATTGTGCTCATTCGATTGGTTTCCATATTCCGTTTTAGTGGGTGAACCATGAGGCGGCATTGAAAGAGGTAATGGTGGTAAATAAGCTGGACCGTAATATTCTGGATGATATGGATACATTGCAGGTACCGGACGGGAAGTTAAAGGTCCGGCAGCACGAAAACGAGGTAATGTGGGATCTTCTTTTGAAGAAGATCGTTCACCATAATGTGCCCATGGACCTGGAACACGCGGGTAACCAGAGTATGGATTTGTTGCGTCGTAAGGGTAAGGAGATTTACTATTATTCGGTGAATCAGATGTTGAATGTTGTATCCTCGATGAATCATAATAATTCGTATACATTGGTGGCCTTGCATAAAGATGGTGAGGGTATGGATAACGATGATGTTCAGAGCCTTCAGTTATAGGAGGAATTGGAGGATAATATGGATACGGATTATACATATAATGTCTTTCGTATGGATCATAATAAGGTGGATAATGTGGTGGCGGATGTTCTCCCATATAATCACGATCATGCCAAGGATGAGGTCTTCCATAACCTGCTCCATACATGGCAGCTGCCGGGTCATATGGATGAGGCGGTGGCATATGATCGTAAGGTCCACGCGCTCGAGGAGAAGGACTATTATGACTTGATTGCTCTTTCATTTTCTTTTCATTAGATGATGAAGTTTCTGTGATAATTTTTAATTGACTATCTTCTGGGCTCGGCTGTTCATGCATATCTTCATCAGTCGACTCGGTATCTTCCTCAGCGTCACCCTCACCACGGGGTCTTTTTGCTTGGCTACTTTCGGCATTCTCCGCTGGTTCTATTTCTTTTCTTTTTTGAATTCTTCTATTTCGATGGGTTTATTAAAACAATAAAATTTTTTGTCAAGCTAACACATAGAGAAAGGATATCAAAGAAAGGTCAAGCAGATTCATAAAATTCAACCACACCTGCGAATTCTGATTTCTTTTCGTATCCGAATTTTCAAGCCTTGGTCAGCAAAGGAACGCGATAGAAATGTTGACTCTTGAAAAGATTAAAATAATTGCAGAAATAACAAATCCTTTAGAAAAATATCGTAAGCGGATCGAGTCAAAATATTTTGGAAATGGTAACTTACCTTCCATACCGGGAAACCTTTTTGCCGAATATACAGTGAAAACGTCGGAAAATATCGATTTACAATGAAATACTTCTCGCCTGGGAGGGCCGTGACTAATGTCAGCAAATCCAGTATATATATAAAACAAATGAACAGGATAAATAGAGTCGTGGTTAATTAAATATGACACATACCCAATTATCTCGAATAGACTTAATTTCAATCGATATGTTCCTTCCATGCGTACCGACAAATCAGGAAATACAAAAAAGCCTGCATCCGAATTATCAATATCTTTTAAATGGTAAAGGGACGAAACCACCGAACCGGTGGTAGAACGAGTTTTCTTATCACGAAGCAAATGTAATTCTTCATCGCTATCGGAAGCCACCAGCGAGGCGTACATAAAAAAGTATGGATTTTGGAGAAATGAATTGCTATTCCCAAAAAAAATTTATGGAATTAAAGATTTAGCAAGTGTATAAATGGACTATATTCATGTATAGCATGATTGATGCACGGAATTGATTCAATACCTTTTTTCTGTTTGTGCTATGTTGGCATCATACACTTTGAGCTGAATTATTGGAGGCGGATCGATTGGCCTTCTATCAGCTTTAGAATGACCAGCAATAATTTGTATTTTAAGATTGAAAATAAAGAAAATAAATTACAATATTTTAGAGAGAATTGTTTTTCGTATTTTCCTTTTTCTTATAAGGGATGGGGGGATTGATTACTATTATTATTGAGAATGTGAACTCGATGATTTCTCTTTTCAATTGATAAACAATTTTTTTAAAAGCGAATTAAAAAAAAGTATTAATCAATTATTATTATTATGGTGGCGATACAAAAAAGAATAAACGCAATGATAGAAAAATAAAAATAAATATTATTACTTGCTAATAATTTAATCGGCGAGGTCGAACATGAAGTATGGTGATGAAATTATATAATTATTATGTGATTGTTGATTTACAAGAAACGTGACTTTTCACGTGTCAAAACACAACTTAAAGATTTTCATGCAGCCGTATGACGACGACAGTGGCGACAATGGTGTTTATGTGTGTGTGGTTTGGGGGATCCTCGTTAATTACTAAAAAAAAATGTTGATCTCGATTGCTCACCTTTCTCACCAATACCACACATCCTCGATTGTTTAGGTTGCTGCCGTAAGATAAGTTCATAGTCGCTGCACAAGAGTAATTGTTATTTTCAGCAATAACAATAACATAACACCAGTCAAATTAATATTAGTACGTGTTTAAGGAATTTCTATTAATGCCCAATTTGTTAACGCAGCAAAGACAAATAACAAAAATACGCTCTTCTCCCCCGCACCCCATTAAGTCTCTCAAGTATTAATGTATGAAAATAAAATAGGAAACGCTCACATTTCATGTCGTCCGTCACGTCGCTGCTTCACTTGAGCGAATTGATAAGAGACAGCTTCATCCATGCTTCGTGTGTACTTTGTTCTCGTTAATTTTTAAGCTGAAACTGGCAAGAAATATTTCAATTTTTGCTAGGTGAAAAAAATGGGTGAATATCTTGCGATAAAATAGTAGTATATATATGTGTATATATTTATGTGTGATAAAAACAGCAATTTAGTGTTTTGTTGGGATTTAAAGTAAAATGAAAGTATTCTTTAGGATAGGAAAAGTCCGCCAATATAGTATTGCGTAGAAATAATGTGCCTCACGAAAAAAGAGGAACGATAATATCCTCTCTTAAAGGGAAAAAAAATGGACGATATCACGAGAAAAAACTAACAAGCGCAAAAAAAAGCGAGGCAAACGAACATTAAACAAGCAGCAAAACACAAAACGGATGTTTTCTTTCTTTGATAACCGGGGAATAGGAGCGAACCGAAAAAAGCGGCAAAATATAGTGATGGATGGAATGATTTGATGTTTAGTTGGGGTTGGGAATAATATAGTGAAAATTAGTGAAGATTACGAGGGTGTATACCCTAAATAGGTTATTTTTTCGATACCCCAATATAAATAAAAAGTATAATCCAGGCTAGCACAAGAATGCAGAAATAGACGATTCAGGGTAGATTCAGCTCTTCCCTTTTTTGCAGTAGATGTTGATGCAAGAACTCATTCTCCTTTTTATAAAAGAGAAAAGATTATCAGTATAAAAAAAAATGTTTTGGAAAATTAAGTTTTTTTAATGTATTACACACAACATAACGGATATATGACTCTATGTAATAAAACAAGTTTTATTACATGTTTTTTTTTTTGCTGCTAAGTTGAATCCTTCTTTTTTTAATTCCGCAAAAGCAACACGCATGAACCAAAGAAAATCGAATAATGAAAGTGATGATAAGAGATAAAACACGGAGCATGTAATATATGTAATAAAGGTAATGTGTATCGATGATTGAATCACATAAACAAACAAATAACACTTCCCCCAATTTCCACAAAATTGGTGAACTGGTACTCAATTTTTTCGGGTTTTTTATTTAGTCGGCAAGCGAGGCGCGGGAACAGGGATTAATGAATTCCTAGTTGGTGACGCGTGATCATTTGTGTGGTACAACTTTTTTTCACTAAAGATATTGTCTTGAGAAAAACAAAAATGTTATGTACGACAATGTTTCCCGCACGTTATCCTTTTTCGTATAAAATCCAGGAGTGATTTTGTTTGGTTTTGCTCTGTTCCGTTATTATAAGTGCTAATATAAATAATAAAGTTGGTAGAAAATAGAAAAGGTCTGGGGCCTGGGTACATTAATGACTGTTATTTTTGCACCACTCTCGGGAATATCGCAATGAGATCTTCAATCCTAAGATAAAGGATATTGGATACTTTTTGTCATTATGTTCTTATTTAAGAATTATAAAAAATTCATTGGTAATTTTTAATTTATAATTTATAATCACGAATTATATAAGTTCTTAAAATAGTTTTATGCCATTTTTAATAAATAAAAAGCTTTGAATTGGTTTACAAACCAAATGATTTTCTTAAGTATTTACTTTGTAGATTTATTGTCATGAAATATCTTTTACACTTGAATTTACCGGTGTATTTATAGATTTATTTTATTTAAAATTTTTTCCAAGTATATTTATTCCAAAAGAAATTATCGGGAGTATTACCAGAATGTTCATCGTATTCGTGCATTAAAGTTTTGAGTAAATGAAATTTCCTATTACGTACTTTATTTTTAACACTAATTATTTATTTCAAACAAAGAACGGAAAATTTTAGATACGTTTAACAACATGAGGTATGCGCAGGTAAATAGTTTATTTTGTTGTCGTTTTCACTTTTTGTGTACCCAAAATTCGAAAATTACTACTGATTATCCTTTTATTTCTTTTGCGTATTGCAATATATGATTAACATCTAAAATTTTGAAGGGTAAAGTTCTATCGAGATCATCTACGATGGTGTGCTTAACATTAGCGTCATCATCTCCTTTATTCTTGTAATAAGCGATAGCGACACAATGATTTCGATCAAGATAACTTTCTTCAAATTTCCATTCTGGGCATGGTTCATTGATAACGTATAATTGAGTTTTCGTCTTTATTGACTGTAAGGTATGAGCGTCATATGAGAAACGGCAGAGGAATCAGGTTTGCATCTTTTTCTAGATCTCACAAATAGCAAATCAATGATTACCTTTATCGTCATATCATCATCATATCGATATGACAATTCATCATCCGCTAATCTAAATTCGATGTCACTTAATTTCATATTTAATCCGACTCCGATCGCTTTAATATAACTTTCTTTTAGACACCAATATCTATAGAATCTTTGGAGTTTCTCCTGTTCAGAAATGTTTGGTGAGTTAATTGTGCACCATTCGTATTCTGAAAACTATTTTTTTAAAAAATCAATACGATTAAAGATGAAAGAACCACACAAATAAAGAGAAGAAACCAAACTTGTTCTCGAAAAATTCTAAGGTACTGAGAAATCGGTTCATCAGGTGTTTCTATCTTCATCACGTCAACCCCGATAACATTCAAATTTTGCCTTCTATCCTCGAAATTCCCTATCGAGGCAAGAACTGCCCAATCACCATGATGAGAGATATTAAAGTCAATTTTTGACACCTCGGGCGAAATCTATCAGGAAGAATAAAGTAATTAACAATAGAACGTTTAATAAATCATTTATCAATCCACGTACCAAAATTGGTCTTTCATTTTTGCTTCTGCCAAATCGAGTTACCTCCCAATCAACTTGATAAACACTGTGAAAAAGCCATCGAAGTAACAATCTTCCACTTAATGATAATTTCTGATCTTGTTTCAACCGACGTCTAAGAATTCGTTCTCGTTCTTCAGTTTGTATCGAGTTTAAGGCATGAGTGTATTGCTAAGATGAGAGAATTAAGGCCAGATTCGAAAAATTAAATATCGTATTTTGATTCTTTAACTTTAATTAATACCTCTTCAGTAGGTTGCCAATCAGTAACATTAACAGCCCAACGTGCAGTTATTTTTGTGTCTTGGTTTTCTTTCGCGATGATTGGCATTTCGAAAGAGCCGAGAAAACTTTAAAATCGGATATAACATTGTCAATTTTTATAGTCAGAATTTGATGATTTTTGGCATCATCTGGACATTAAATCAATGACTTTTGATTGGTCTAACAATGTGAAACAGTATGAATAAGATCATTGTTTGATCGAGCATTAATATTGTTCAAAGATGATTATTATTGTTCCTCGCTATAACATTTATTATACAATGAAATTTTCGCAGATTAAGAGGATAATGCTTATTTTACACACACACACACACATATATAATATGTGTGTGTGTGTAATAAAAGGTCGAATTCGAGTCAAAAACGTATTCTTCGAAGGGTACTGACTCCTCATATCTCATTGACATGATACACACATTGTATTTGTCAAACAAGATAATAACTGCTATGGGTTATGGATTCGCTTTGTGCTAAAGCGTAACTGGGGTATAATTAATTGGTGAATTTTTTGTCCCGCCCCTGATATTACCCAGCACACGAATTTAAAGGAGTAGCACAACTTTCTCGGGATTTCTGCGAATGATTTGAATCAAATACAAAGAAATGTTTCTTCCTGTTCTTTATCAGAATACAAATACCGAATAAAAGCAACAAAGCCGATTTTTGTGTATTTTTCAACGCTAACTTCTTAATATTACAACATGTATTTACTAGTTCTAAGATATACACTTGTATTCTATGCAATGCAATGCACCTACACAAGGACATTTTTGCATATGTGAATTAGTAAGTAACGGTAACAAGCAAAACAAGAATTTATTATAAAAAGAAAAATGAACCCCAAAACAAAAATAACATTTACAGTGTTATATAAGTAGACATTTTACTTTATCAGAAACGAATTAAGTCAATCTCGACCTAAACGATGAATGGTGTTTCTCTTTACTCTGCCTCTGTTCTCTGCAATTGATATAAAGATGCAAGCAAACCGATAGCTCTTGTGAGTAATTAAATTAGAAATACTATATTTACCTATTATTATTATTATTATTATTATAATATTATATATATATATATATATATAATATATATAATATTTATTAATGTTACGGTGTATATTATATATTATTATTATATTTTATTATACTTATATTTATTATTATTATTATTTATTACATATTATATATTATATCACAAGTCCGGTGATTTTATTAGAATATAGAAGTTTAAATTACTTCACAAAGAATGAAAATTAATGGCATTCATTAATTACAAACGCAAGTAATAAACGCAAGGTTATCACGATTATAATGTAATGGTATTGATAAATTATTTCATTTATGATAAATTCAATTTTAAATTTCCATAAGGTTGGATGTTTATTGTTTAGGACTCGTGTCGTCGAATAATTCAGAAATTAAATTTATTTTGATCTTAAATAGTAAAAATTCATGTTAATTACATGCATTTCTTTTTATTCAGAATGCTATTTCCTGAATTCGGAAGAAAGGATCCCTTTTTTTCTTGCTTATTCATTTATAAAAGTAACACCCTTTTTATGTCTAGCTTGACGAAGAGAAACGAGATTATAAAATACTTTTTTTATTATCTTGACTTTTACAATACACAGGTCTGGCGAAATGACTAAATCCCAGTGAGTTGCCTATATGAGTTTCTTTATCGGAAAGCGTTTTCCCGATGATGGTGTGAGAATTATATTGGGCGGCTGCATATGCACTTTTATAATAACACCCTTTACAACATGAAAGCAAGCACATAAAGAAACTGTTATTGTACTGGTCTTTTGAAAAGGACGTTGGATGTGTAAACAAAAAATCTTAAACTTGGAGGCATGTGTACATGCATATGTGTCTATCTTTATATAACTATATAATAGCTTTTGAACCCGACACTTGGTGAGCCTGTTCCTGATAACACGAATTTAGAGAAGTATTATTACTACATTCAGAAATAAACTTTAGGAAACGGAGACAATACAATACTGGAGGCATTACAAGAATGTGCGATTTTAATATATTTTTAGAACGTTAATCGAATGCAATCTTTTGACTAAATTTAGGATCACTTGTATTATCATGATTTTACTTAGGAACTGTAACTTTTCGTCTTCGCATTCCAGTCATTTGCAAGATTTTTGGCAAATTATTAATTACTAGAATTAGCAACAGCCTTCGTTAGATGTTACTAACAAGCAATACCGCGAAATTAATCTGGTATGTGTATGTAGTTAAGCAGTGAACCATCATATCTAAACGACGACGATAATCCGAAGTAAATTTTCTATGACTTCCATAGTCGCAAAAAATGGTTCATGTAAATTTCACTACTTCTCTTAACCCATTGCCATATAAGGTTTACGGATTCGTTAGCGTCATTCCCAATAACATTTTGAGAAGCTGGTATTGATTTCTGGGACTTTCGGTATTTGTTCAACTTTGAGACGAGGAAAATTTATAATTCGGATGCATTTTTTATAGTTAAAGTGCGATAAACTGGATAAATATTCTGAAACTGAAAATATTAAACCAGGTTTCTTTCAAAATAAAAAAAGTTTACGTGCTATAAAATCTTTCGAAATGCATATATCCTTCTTTAATCACTCTCTTTATAAAAATTCTTTTTTTAATTACTCAAAAACTAGTTACATATAAAATAAAATTATTTCTTAATTTATTATCGTTACTAAATCCAATAATCAAAGTTGACATGGCTATTATAATAATAGCATACTATTCTAAACCTCCTATATTAATTATTTCTTTGGTTTTAATTTTTATTTAATATGAAATTGAATCAAATTCAAGATTTATATTCAAATAAAATTCAAAATTGAACTGGATTTTTTTAAGTTCTAAATTTTCTAAGTAGCTCTAAACCAAATTATATTTATATAAAATAGTACAATGATTTTCATAATTATAATATTTAAAACTGAAATCTGGATGAAATTGATCAAAAATACAAATCAGAAAGTTAATTTTATTAAAAAATATAATAAAAATTAAAATTTTTCTTTAAAATTTTTAATTTATTAAAAAATAATTTTATTTTTACTAAAATAAAATTATAATAACTTTATAATTAGAATATAATTAAATCTTTCTATAATCATTATATTTGAGAAATAATTATAAAAATAAAAAGATTTTTTTAATCATAATTAATTAATAACTAAAAAACTTAAAAAAAGATAATTATAAAACGTTAACTATAATTCTTTTAAAAAATCTAAAGCTTTATAAATTTTAAACTTTTATTTTAATATAAATACAAAAAATTTCTTAATAAACTTATAAAATTTAATAAAATAAAAATTTTAATTTTTATTATATTTATTAATAAAATTAATTACTTAATTTTATAATTATAAAAATTATTATAAATAGTAAAAAATTCAATATTTATTAAAATATATAATATTTATATAATTAAAAATTATAAATTATATTAGTAATATTAAATATTATATTCAAATAATTAATATATCAAATAATTAGATAATTTTTATATATATTTATTATATATTTTTCTTTTATATATATTTATATTTTTTTATTATCTTGTAATTCTAAAATTAAGTATAATAATAATATAAATCTTAATATAATTAAATTAATAACTAGAAAAATATTATTTATATATTAAAAATTAAAAAAATAAAAATTTGAGATAGTTAAAATAATTAGAAAAATTAAAATATATAAAAATTTCAAGATAATTAATATATTTGAAAAGCTTGAAATATTCAAGAAGTTTAAAATAATTAAAATATTTAAAAAGTTAATAATGATAAAAAATCAAAATATTTAAAAATTTAAAAGATTAAAATATTCAAAAAGATTTAAAATAATTAAAAAAATTAAAATACTTAAAAAATTCAAAATTAAAATATTTAAATAAAAATATAATTAAATCTTTTTATAATTATATTTTTTTATAATCATATTTTTTTATAATTATTTTTTTAAGTTTTTCAGTTATTAATTAATTATAATTAAAAATTTTCTTATAATCACATCTCTTTATTATTATTTAATTTTACTTTTTCAAGTATAATCTGATTTTTTTAATATCAATTTTATAAATATTAATAACTTTTGTTAATAATATTAGTAATAAATCAGATTTTTATTTATTAGAATATCTTATTGATATTAATTTTTATAATATATTTTCTTGATATTATTATTAATATAAATTAAATTTTTATTTTTAATTATATATAGTGGTGATCAAAAGTAATAACTCAGGGCTAAATTTACTAATAAAATATAATGAAAATTGAAATTTTCTCTCTATATTAAAATTTATAATTTTAATAAAAAATAATTTTTATTTTTATATTAAAATAAAGTTTATCAGTTATAGT